CCTGGGCGGTTGCTCCCGTGGGCTCGTCATGTGTTGTCGTGGACCAGCTCCTCTGGGCAGGCAGACTGGTCCCGGGACTTGTGCAGCCCTGGGGAGGGCTGGGTCTGGCCGCTGTGCTGCAGGGCCAGGTCCGGCCCCAGGAGCGCGTGGTGCCGGTGCCGCTGGTACTGCACAAATGTACAGACCTTCAGCCCAATGGCCAGCATGTTCTTGCCCATGAAGATGCTGGAGACCCGTGCGTCCCTGAAGAAGACCATGTTGCTGCCTCGGATGAAGATGGTGGTGATGTTGACAGTGAGCATGCTCAGCATGGGGTACAGCATCATCCGATGCGGCATGATGCCGATTCCTTGCATGCTGATCTCACAGAGGGACACACAAGGGAGAACCAGGAGCAAGATGTAGCAGTAGAAGAACATGATGCCCTCAGCCCAGAGCGGCAGCCCCTTCTTCTGGGGCTCCCACAGGTTGGCCTGGATGTCCAGCACATCCAGCATGTCCACAATAACCCAGAAGAGGCGGTTGCGGAGATCTTCTTTCTTCTTGAATGTCCTGACGTACTCCATGTGCTCTGTGGCCACCAACAACACATAGAGGGCTGGGATGCAGATGGAGAGCAGCAAGGTCAGCGCTTTGCGGGCTATGAGATCCAGGCTTTTCCGGTCAGCTTTATAGTTCTGGTATACAAAGTAGACTTTGATCTCCAGAACGAAGACATACAGGAACCAGAGGATCATGGCGTAGCCCCGCTTAGCTGTCTTTACCTCTGCTCCAACCCAGATGGCCACATAGCGGAGCACCAGTAGGAAGCACACATCACCCACTGCCACCATGACACAGATGCCCAGCTTCCTGGAGCCTTGGCTCTGCTCCACCAGGTAGGCATCCATGAGGACAAGGCTGGTCATGATGAGCACAGTGGAGAGGCACACGTGGGGCTTGCTGACAGGCGGTGGGGGAACCATTCTGTACAGAGAAACAGGCAGGGCTGTCAGGGAGTTGCTGGGATTATGCCTCCCTTCTGCCCCGCCTCCCCCCAAACAACAACTGTGGAAGGCTGAAAGAACGGGTGGGGGTGGGGTGGGGTATGTGCATGCACATGCGTGTTTGTGTGTTTCATAGATTCTTCTCCCATCCTATGTGCCTGGTTTGTTCCAAACCTGCAGACTGCTAGCCAAAGCGCTCCTGAGACTCCTGGCCAGGCCATGCTGGTGGCACATACTGGTGGCACATACTGGCTGAAACCCAGCTCTTGGGCTGCACGTGGGGATATGGTGGGGCAGGCTGGACAGCCTTCAAGCACTTGGGATGCTACTGCCTCTTCCAGTAGCTCATCACTCTGGTTAGTCTCTGCCATTGTGAAGGGTACATACCTTATTTTCCATGGCATTTCCCAGCCAGTGGCACTGGTTATAGTCTCCCCTCCCCAAGGCATGTAAGACCGTATCTAAGCTTTTAACCCAAGCAGGTCCTTAACTGCTATGATCCAGGACCACTCTCTTTTTAGACTCCTTTATTTTCATGTACAGCATGAGGTGAAGGATTATTTTTAGCCTGGCTGTCCTGTGAGGTGGGTGGGAAGAAATCGGCCCAGTATCTTCAGTTTCCTTCAGCCTTATGCTCCCCAAGAGCTCTGCCTACAGCGGTTTGCCCATGCCCACCCTGCCCCAGCATGATAAACCAAAAGCAAGGAAAGACAGCACCAGCCCACAGCTCCAGGACAGAAGGAGCTCCGCAACAGGCCCTCAATTTCAGCTGGTTGCTCAGCCTTCCCAGGCTGGGGCACAGCAAAGCACGGGCCCCAAAAGCACCCCGCCTGC